ACCAGGAAAGATGATGCTCAAACTGTGGCTAAGTATGTTAGATCTCACATAATCCTTAGATATGGCTTTCCTAAGATTCTCATTAGTGATAGAGGCACTCATTTTTGCAATAGAACATTAGAGAACCTTTGCTCTAAGTATCATATCACCCATAGGATTTCCACTGCCTATCACCCCCAAACCAATGGACAAGCCGAGATAAGCAATAGGGAAGTGAAGAGTATTTTAGAAAAGGTAGTGAGACCGGATAGGAAAGATTGGAGTGATAGATTAGACGAGGCTTTATGGGCCTATAGAACTGCATATAAGACTCCTCTAGGTATGTCTCCCTACAGGATATTATTTGGAAAACCTTGTCACCTTCCGGTAGAATTAGAACATAAATCATATTGGGCTGTTGAACAGGTTAATCTTGATTATGATTTGGCAGGAAAACATAGAAAACTGCAGATTCAAGAGCTTGAGGAGATTAGACTAGAAGCTTATGATAACTCAGTGATATATAAGGTTAAAGCAAAAGCCTTTCATGACTCTAAGCTTTCTAGAAAACACTTTGAGATAGGAGATAAAGTTCTTCTTTATAACTCTAAGCTTAGACTTTTTCCAGGAAAACTTAGCTCTAGATGGTTAGGACCCTACACCGTTGTTAAGACTTATAACCATGGAGCGGTAGACATTAAGAATGAATCCTCTGGAGTTACTTTTAAGGTTAATGGTCATAGGTTAAAACTTTTTCGTGATGGAGGATTTGCAGGATTAGTGGAGGAGTTAGTACTAGAAGCCGAACCTTAGAACTCTTCCTAGTTTCGTCTAGCCAAGGACGTTAAACCGGGCAGCTTATGGGAGGCAACCCACCTACTGTTTCCGTTCTTAATTTAGTTTTTTCTATTGTTTCTTGATTATCTTTTGCTTTAATAAACAAAACAAAAAAATCAGAAAATTAGAAAACAGAAAAAAAAAATCAGAAAAATGAAAAAACTTCATCATCAGGAGTACTCAGAACACTGCTGCATTTACTGGATTTAATGGTCTATTTTTGCTTCATGTATGCTTCTAACTATTTATTTGAGTGTATATTCAAGATCTATTAAGTCAGAAGCATGCCCTTTGGAGCATAAATCTGTACAAACAGGTTTGAAATCTGATCCAAAAAATCTGATCCAAATCAGTAGTTCCAGCTGTCCCAGGTTTAAGCTTCAGTTTGCTTATCCTTTTTGTGTTCAAAGTTTGGTTTCTGATATTACAGTTTGCACAATGAGAATCTGCACTATTAAGTCATAATTTTGCTTGCAAAAGTGAATAACCTACCCATTCAAATCTGATTTTTGAGCTTCAATGGTAAAAAATCTGCTTTTTTATTAATGTGCAAAATTCTGATCCAGATCAGCAGTCTCAAGTACCCAATGGTTTCTCTGTTGTAAAATTTCATTTTCCTTAAGGTTTGGGTGCTATTGTATGGACATATTTAAGCTGAAAATTGAGACATGTGCATTGTTTATCGCTGATTTTTGGATACTAAGGAAAAATTCTGCACTTTGAAAAGTTATTTTTGGACTTGTAAGCTGATTTTTTGAGTGCAAAAATGCAAATTTTACACTTTTTAAAGCTTATGTGTGCTGAAATAGAAAAAAAAATCTGCAATCTTTTCTTGGTGTTCAATCTGATTTTTGAGTTCATCAGATGCATATGTGCTGAATTAGGAGGTTTAATAGATGCATATGAGCTGCTTTGCACATGCATGACATAACTAACCTTCTCATATACAGTATTCTGTTTCGAAAAGGCACAAGAATCTGTGTTTTCAGGAACCTGACTTGAGGCTTGAAATCTGCATTTCTTTGAATCTGATTTTTAGTTCGTCAATACTAAAAGACTTGGTCTTAGTCATGTTTTTGCAGATCTTAGTTCCATCGAGCACTTTAAGGAGGGAAAAGTGATGAGTTGATGCTGCGTATACTTTGTTTTTTAGTTGCATTCCCCTCTCCCCTTCTCTCTTTACTAAGTCCGTGCTTGCTTAATATTTGCATACCATATAGATGCATTGGGGACTATGCATATTTTAAGTGTGGGGGGAGTTGCTCATGCTTGTGTCATTGCTTAAAAACACTTTTGGGGCAAAAATTTTTCAAAAAAAAAAAAAAAAGGTTTTGGGTCCAAATATTTTCATTCTTAGTTGCATATCTTCTTATTTAGAGCATTGTTTTCAAAATTGACCCAAAAACCTCATTGTTTTTCTTGGGGCTTTATTCTGAAAGATAGCAAGTGTATACTTTTTAAACCCACATTGAGTCTTATGCTCTTTTCTTGGTAAAAATGGCCCTTAAAATGTTTGAAATCCTTCTAGGTTACCTTAGATTTTTGTTTTCTAGAACTGGCCATCCACATATTATCTAGATGCTGCCTAATCAACCATTACTTGATATTAAAAAAAAAACAGAGAGAAACCAGTTTTAGGAGCCTTTTATTTTTAGAAAATTGAGTGATTTTTATATTTTTAGGCTTATTGATGAACCTTGCTACCGCTACTATTGAGCCGTTCTAAACCATAGGATTCCGCTAGGAAACTTTTTTGTAGCAGCTTTAGAGCATTTGTTAGAACCCAAAAAAAATCCACACCTTAGTTTTCCATCCTTTTAGGATTTCTAGCTCACTTTGTTTTTAAAATATGAATGAGCATAAAGTCTTAAGTGTGGGGGTTGGGTTTAAAGTTCACTTTGTTTCTTCTTGATGATGATAAAAAGAAATAATATATTCCTTTTGGCCCTTGAACGAGGACGTTCAACTCTTAAGTGTGGGGGTATTTGATAACTCGGGTTTGGGGTAATATTTTTTATTCTCTTTTTGGCAGTTTTAGTATTTTTATTGTTTAATTTTCATTTGTTTAGCTTAGTTTTATTTTAATTCCTATTATTACAAACCTTTTAATTCCATTCAAAAATAGTTGTTTTTAATCATTTTTTAACATGTTATTATTTTACTATTATTATTTTTTCTAACCCAAGTTACCAGATATCCTATTTGTTTTGGAATAAATTGCAGTAAAAGGCCAAATTGAAGCTCAAGTTTGAAAAGAGAAGATTGAGTTTGGACCGGAGCCAAACCCATCATCAACAACTCAATTAAACAAAGATAAGCCCAAGTCTCCTTCCCTCAATTCAAACTCACGCAAGAAGAAAAAATGCTTCGTGCGATTGAAGCTAGCGCAAGACCAGGAGAGGAGCAGCGACCTATTCAAATCGGCAGTAACGCCTCTCCTTCAACGTTCGGCCATGAATTGCTCTCGAAATCAAGTCAACAACGGCTCCTTGTTCTCTCTCTTCACTCAAAACGCTCCAACGGAAAAAAATTCCTCCCGTCTATAAATTGGACAAGGAATAGCAGCAGAGGCGGAGGGGGATGCTTGGTCTCTCGAGGTAAGAAGTTAAAGAAGTAGAAGAAGAAGATATCCATGGGTTTATTTAACCGAAGGCCTGAATTAGGCCTTCAGTTGGGAAATTTAAAAGTTAAGAAAACAACAAAGATACAAGTTCACAACAAAAAAAAGGTTAAATAGTGAAAAAAAACAATGAACAAGTACGTTATCTTAGACTTTTTTTATATAACGGTTGGTGTTCTTTTGGGTGTATGTTCTTGTTTTAAATGTTTATATATAATCCCTTATGAATGAGAATTGATTCTTTCTTATTTACTTCAATTATTGCACAAGTTGTTGTTGATTTGATTGAATTGCTTCAAATTCATAAGTAGGTTGATATGTAGAATTTGGTTTTTGTTGAAGCTATTTTAGCTCCATAAGATAGTTAAATAAACTCCGAATTCATACGTGTTTCTTTGTTGTGCTTGTGTTCGTTGATTTTAAGGATTTTGGACTTCTTAGCCCCATAAGTCGATTCATTTTCCTTAGAATTCGTTATAGAGTGATTTTGTTACGTTATGTGTTTGTTTTCCGTTTTCTTTAAATTGAGATTGTTTAAGTGCAATAAACAATTCTCATTTTATTGAAAATACGTTGTGTTCCTCTATGTGAATAGAAAAAACGTCATTGGTTTGAGAAGTTTATGGAAATCTGTGAAATGTGCTCATCATTAGGAGAAAAAATTCATTAAAATGCATAGGGTATTGGCGGTTTGTGAATAGACTATGTATGAGAGTTGAATGCATAATAGATTCTCTCTTTTATAAATTTTTTCTACAGTGGAAGTATGTTATCATGCTTGAATAGAGAGTTGGGGTTCTAAGGTATATTTCAAAACAGGCCTTTGAATTGCATGACTCCGGGCCGTGTGGAGAGTTGACAATCCTCCATATCGTGGTTAAGGAAATGAATTGACTCGGCCTTTGATTTGTTTTTTTATTCTTAAGTGCGTAAGTTATGTAATATATTGTCTACGTGCGTATTATATGTGTAATGTTCGATTTGTGTTCGTTTTTTTTAATTTTGTTTCGGGTTCTTGGCGGTTTTTTTCGGGTTACCTTGGTTGAGGAAGTTGATTATCTTTTGAACTTGTTTTCCCTCACTTCATTAAAAAATCAAAAAAAAAAAAAAATAAGAAAACATTTAAACCAAAAATATTTACTTTTTATTGAAACCCCCCCCCCTTTGTGTTATATAAGTATAAGTCTATTTAATAAGTGTTTGTTTATAAGTTATATTATAAGTTCTTTGTTATATAAGTTACTTATAAGTTTTAGTGTTTATTTTTATAATGAGTTCAATTATAAGTTTTATAAGTGTTATCTTTTGTGTAGTATTTAGTTTTACTTTTATGTTTATTTTTGTGACAACGTGTTTGTATACTAAATTGGTTTTGAAAAGTACAACATTTCTTCGTGGGATCGACCCTTACTTTCCCTAGCTATAGTTTTTATTTGATTATATATTGGGGGTTAGTTAAGGATGTTTTATAAATTTTTAATTTGTTTTGGACCACACGACAAATCCCCAACATCTTTAAAAAATCTATTTGTTGTTGGTTGGTAAACATGCGAGACAGTAAGAGTTGCGTTATTAAAAACTTCTAATACGGCATTTAATTTTTCAACAATAACAAATTCATTCAATGAAATCATAAAATGAAGTTCATTCCGAAAAAATGCAGCAAATTCCTCTTTGTAGCTTAGAATCTGCGATATCAGCTTGTATGTACTATTCCATCTAACGGTAATATCTTTAGCAAATATTATTAGTCTTCTATCCCTAGATTTACAATATGACTTCCAAGCTTTCGTATGAATACGACTACCCCAAATATTTTTAATTCCATTTTTAATATTCGTCAAACCCCCCACCCCCCATAGCTTCTAATTCATGTTGAACACATAAATTTAAAACATAACAAGCACACCTCTGATGCAGAAATTTACCCATAGTCGTAGACTCGTAGTAGGGGGCAAATTTCTTTAAGTCTAGGATTAACATCAGTATTATTAGTAGCATTATCAAAACCAAATGCAAACATTTTATTAACTAAATTATATTCTTGCAGAATACACTCAAGCAATAGAAAAATATTTTCAACATTGTGAGATTCACTAAGATCACGAAATGCAAAAACACATTTATGCATAATCTAATAACTATTTATCCAATGGCAAGTAACACGCATATAAGACAAATTATGATATGTTTCACTCCAAATATCAGAACAAATAATAACACGAGAATTATTTTTCTTGAAAAACGTCTTGCTAGAGGGTTTAATGCATTTTGACAATACCTTTACCGCTGTTTGCAAACCGAAAATTTTGGGTTTGCACTTCTTGTCGTCCCTTCTTTTTCGCCGCTAGCGTACTTCACGGGGTGCCTCGCCCTTAGGTGTTTTTCCGAACCACCATAACTGCCGGAAATTCCCATTTTAATGATGGTGCCACAATAATTACAAGTTTTAAAAACTTCACCATTTTTTGTTTCTTTTGAAAAATGATAAACAAATAAATCAGCTATTAATTTTTTTTACCTTTCCCCGGACCTTGAGAGGTCTCGGGCTCAACTGCCTCCTCATCAGCGTCGGTAGGATTGTTACTCTCCGGTGTAGGCTCCACGTCCATTTTTGCTTCATCAATGTCCTCGAATATATCTTTAAGAGTAGGAAGATTGGCATTGGTTCTACCTCTCAAATACTATTCGAATTCTTAATCCCTCAAAGTGTCGCCCACGAATTGAGCAGGGATAGTAGGGAAGGAAGAGACGGAGTGTCTTCCTTGAAAACGACGTGAGCTTGAACTGTCGGAGGTGACTTTAGCTTTGCATTTCCTCGAACTTCATTTCACAACGCCCATATCCACGGACCTTCTACTAGACTCTTTCGACATTTTAATATATTTTTATTTTGAAAAAAATGAGTATATTAAATATTTAAAATATTAATTATATATTGAATTTTGAAATTATAATATTAATTTATAACAATATAATATATTAGTAATATATGAATGTTGGACTAAAAATTTAATATTATATGAGTATATATTTATATATTATATTATATATTAATATATATTTATAATTTTATATTATTATATGAATATAAATCGTTTAAAGAATTAGGTATTGAAGAGAGATCATAGAAATTAATAGAGATGATTAGATGAAGGGATTGAGATTTGAAAAATGAGAAATGAGAGTGGTATTTTTTTTTTTAAAAAAATGAGAGGGTTTCTATAGATAAACCCCCCCACCCCTACCTCTTCCTCCTACTCAACAACATTATAGCCGTTTGAGGAGCCCCCCACCTGCAAAAGCCGCTAACAAAGCAACCAAAAGAAAAAAAATTAAACGGTCAGTACCGGATTCGTTACTGGTACCGCCGGTGCCGGTACCGAAAAACTGGCACCCCAACGGGTACTGTGTGGGACGGCATCAGTACCGGTTCCCGGAACCGCCAACCCATGTTTGTCTTCGGTGGCGATACCTGCGATTAGGTGATACCATTGCTGGTAACGGTACCGTACCGATAACGTGTCTAGCCCTAATCGTGAATTCATAGTAGTGCACTGGATCCCATCAGAACTCCGAAGTTAAGCATGCTTGGGCGAGAGTAGTACTAGGATGGGTGACCCCCTGGGAAGTCCTCGTGTTACACCCCTTTTTGATGTTCACCTTACTTAGGCCCCATTCCATTCAATTTATTTTTTTGCTTTTTTATTATTCTTATTAAAATTAGATCAGATCAGATCCAATCAAGAATTATTATTATTATTATTATTATTATTATTAAAAATGAAAAAGAATAAGCTATAGAAACAAGTTAAAAGAAAACTGAGAAAATAATACTTAATTATTAGACGTCGGAAAGATTATTTTTAAAATACATTAACAATGTCAATCTAATTCTACTTTTAAAATACATTTTTATTGCTATGTGTAATTTGAGTTTCTAAAGTTTTGATATTTTACTACCTCGAGTTGATCAACTTTGATCATGACTTAAATAAAATTAACATTTGATATTCGTACACGGAATATATTTTAGTGTAACTGAAATAACTATTATATCTATGGTGTTATATTAATCATAAAAAAAGTTTCGTAGTACAAAGCACACGCTGATATTTTATAAGGATGAGATATTTTAAGAAAAATACTATCTCTTCTCTATATTGATTATCTAAATTTAATTACTTTTTAATATATATATGAACGAATTATTAAAATATTAAATCAATATTCTTATTTCATAAAAAAATAATCATAAAATTATAAATATTATTACCTTATAATATGAACGATTATTCTAATATATGAATTAACTAATTTTATTTCATTACAAAATAATAATAAAATAAAAAATATTGATTATATTATAATATGAATTATCATTACAATTTTCAAACGTTATTATAAAGTCAAATCAAATTATTAATTTGATTTTTAAATCAAATCATAATTAACCAGATTCGATTAGACCACATCAGATTAGATCAAATCAGATCCTAAAAAATTAGACCAGATCAAATCAGATCAAATCAAATCAGATCAGATCCGATCAGAACTATAGAAAATTAGATCAGATCAGAAAAAATAAGTTGTATGGAACAGAGCCTTAGTTGGAAAATTCTATAGTGGACCTAAGGTTCACCATGGACCTACATATGAGCAGAATAAGCATTTCTTTACTATTTAAATAAGTATTTGTTTTTTAAATAAAAAAAATTAAAACCAATCATGAGAGAAGATCCACAAAATTGATATGCACCCAAGATGCATCAAAGAAGCAGTAGACTTACTAACTTGGGTATCTTTTTATTGAAAACTTAAAAGATGAAAACTAAATAGGAATACATAGTAGCCGACAAGGAAAAAATCAACTCCATTATTTTTTTTATTTTTAATTTTTTGTTGGTGGCACTGTTAGGTACTTTATTTGTAGTTTAGATAATTTATCTTCTCTAGCATCAAAGAGTGATTAAAATTCCACTATAATGTAATACGAAATCAAATTACTGCATAAATTTAATTAAATAGGCACAAAAATCAACACTTTGGGTTAGGGATGCAATTCTTAAATTTTTCCAAAACATAGATGATTTGCCTGCGGGATTCAAACCCAATTCATATGCTATTGCATACTGCTCTACTGTTTGA